GCCAGGGGCGTGGGGCGGCCGTCCCATGCTCCCTCTTCTGGCCCTGAGACAACTGCAGCAGACCTGCTTTATGAGTTTACTGGACATCCGTGGACGCAAAGCGGCGTTCGCTGAATGTCCTCTCGTTGTTCACTTTTTAGCTCTACAGCGGACATCCGAGGAACATAGCAGGAAGCACCGCAGGAAGTCTAAAGGGTACTTCTGATGAATACACTTTTGTCAAGGGCTGCGTTTTATAGTCTCTTTCTCGCAGGACACCAAAAAGCTTCTCCACATTTGTTTCATCCGTTCGTTACGCTAGTGCACGCGTTTCTATACCACACTATATTTTGCGTCAAATAGTTCGAAAGAGAATGCCTCTCGAGAAGACAGGAAGTTAGTGCCTTCAGCAGCCAAATTTTAGTGACTGGTGTTGCTGCATTTGGGTGTATTTGCAGTTGGAAAGGTCGAATGACGCAACTCGTTGGTGGTTGGGAGGACGGCAACCCTCAACAGGGTTTGGCCCGCGCTGGTTCTGCGTACCTTTCAGGCGTGGAAGGTGAAGCTTTTGTTGCTGCTCAGTTGCACTTACTGTCACTTTTTTGGAGTCTTCATTCACGAGCGCAGAAGCGCCGCTCCAGACAGTGTATCTTAGACTGCTGCAATTGTAAGGTATTCGAAGACACTGGGTGACTTTTGTGTCTCTTCTGGGCGGTCTTGCGTTTGGTATCAGATGACAACAGCGGTGACAGCACGGACCACCAAGGGACTTCTGCCCACCAGCCGCCTAAAGGCACCACTGGACGCCCCACAGAAGACGATAAAGGCCGTAGTCGATCTGTTTTTCGGCTTCTTTTTGGACAGAACGATAGCAGGGAATCTTCGATCACGCGAGGAGGGCAAGCGCGGAGCGATGCAGATGCAGCGGGGCGCGCTTCCGCGGGACTCCGTCCTTTCATACAGGGTTTAGATAGGCTTTGCCCAACTGTGACTCAGCTTTTAGCTGCAGTTGACACCTTGACAGACTGGGAAGCAGCGCGACAGAAAACTGCGCTCACAGCCGGCCAGAGGCCAACCAGCGGTCTGCAACGCTGGTTAGTCCGACTTCACATCGTGGAGCTCTACCTCCAGCGTCTGCCGGGATTGCGTGAGAAACTGGTTAACGAAGCGAAGAAGAGAATCGTCCGCCGCTGCCCTCGAGATGTTGAGGTTGTGCAACATCTGCGAAAGCTACCAGGCCGAGGCGACAATGCAGGTAGCAACGGCGTAACCCAGACTCCCGCGCGTGATCCGTTGCAACTGCTACAGCTGGAAGAATTCAAGGAGGTTAATGCTGCTGTTGACAATGCCATTGAAGCTGTTACTCAAAAATTCCAAGAAACTGCCAAAGAGCTCTGCAGGTCTGTTGCCACTCTCCTCTAAGATGAAATATTCTGAAACGGGACAACACACGTAAACAGGGGTGCGGCCTGTGAAGAATAGGCAGTGTTTAGCTGTTAGCTGATCTCTCTAGCAGCTGCCGGTGTTCTGTCTTGTTGTTGGAGTTCTATTGCGTATGATGTTGTTATGGCTGTGTCTTAATTGTGCGATCTTCTCAGCCTGGCAGCGGCCCATCTGATATATTACGAGCTGCAGGGAGATATATTCGGGAACATGTACGCTGGAGAAGATGCATTTTCTGGGATGACTCTTTCGCGGCTGCTACAGGCCTTTCCAAATGTGCGTCTGCATGATGGCCGATTACTAGTTGACGATGTGGGCGACTGCTTCTGGCATCGAATTTTTCCAACCCTCCCACACGTTTCTGTGCTTTTTTTTCCAGACAGTTGAGGCTTTCTTCTGCGCGGCTCCTTTGGAATGGCAAGATGAGCTTGCGTCTGCTGTAATACGCAGTCTTGTGGAGGTGCGTTGAACGTTCCCGTAACAGTAGCTTCATCATAGGGTGTTTGTGTCCAGTTCTTATGCGTCATTTTTATGTTTGTATAATCATATACATACATAATCAATGATGCATAAGGACTAGTTGCGGCGTTGCTATGCGTAGGCGTGGTGTCTGCTGTTGCTTGAGTGGGGATATGGAGGACACTGCTATGAACGAGATGAATTAGAAGTGCTCGAAGCAGATCTCAACTGTCTTCGACAGTATGTCTCCGAAAATGAGATCACTCTGGAGGTAACTGTCGTGCCCGTTTTGAGTATGAAGAGTAGGCCCGTAAGTAATGAGCTGTGGGCCTGCTGTGGCACCTAGGGCAACAGGTTGGGTCCTGTTTGGAGCGTTGTAGGACGGAGAGGATATGCTTGATAGAGTCAGTGACTTCCTTGTAATGCTCGACGCTGACGGCAGCTGCCTTGCTGGTGCTGAGTTTTTGGCAAAACAGCAGGATTCTCCGAATTTTGAGCCATCCGTAGACCCGACTGAAAAGAACCGCAGAAGGTGAGAGGGGTTAAGCAAGCGCCAAAATGAGAGTACAGACGACCACAAAACGGCACAAAACGCCATGAGTTCTTCTTGCTGGGATAGTCACGTAGTAATTCATCTTACACAGGGAGAAGGCGTTTTAGGCTAAAACCCATTTAGTGGTGCGAAGTTGTGTGACGTCTTTGCAGCACTGTATGCCACGGCCGTCCTTCTCAGACAACAGCGATTCCCATATCTACTGATGTTACTGGAGACAATGAAACTCCCCCCCGCAGCAGGCATAAAGGGCACGAAGAGACCGAAGCCGGCGAGCGAAGTACGGGTAGGAGGCATCGTAGCAAGTCGAAAGGCTGGGGTGGCGTAGGACGGTGGGTGCGGGGTGTTTATGGCGGCTCCTCTACCCATACACACAAGCACCATTCACGGACATCTGGCAAAGCAGCTCACGACCGTGATGATGCTGACGCCGCCAGGCCACATGAGAGCCCCCGCCGGTCTCTCCGGTTTGCCATGTAGGCCAGAGCAGTGGACTAGCTTTTGCTGTAGAAACTGAAGAATTGCAGCTTTCTAGACAAGAGTGAGCACTTATGCGGAGCGACTTCCAAGATATGAGATAAACTACAAAGGCATGTTTTTTTCCTCCAGTAGTTGGAGCCTTAAGTATTTTGGCACTCACTGAATATTTACGAAATTGCGTGCCTCGAGCCGTTTACAAAGTCCATTGCTGCATACCGGGCGCGCAAAGACTGCTGCAACGCTTTACTCCTTGTTTCGAGTTTCCGAGTATTGTTACGAAAGGCATTCAGCTAGTTCCAGTAAGTTCGGTGCTAAATCATGGACTGAGCGCCATAGCAGTGGACGAGTGTGTGGTTTTCGACCATGCCTGTTTGCATATAGATCCACTGCTGCGTTGCGGAAACGCTTCATCACTAATTGCGCGCACTTCTGGTGTGTTAGTCGTTCGCGGTGGAATGCTATGCGAGTGTCGCTAGACTTTGAGTCGTCAGACCCGGACGATTAGTGTATTTGGGGCTTTCGCGCAAATTTCTCGTTGGAGCTGCATGATGAGCTAAAGAACTGTGCGAGAGGAAAGTCCTGAGCTGTACCTAAGCATGAACCTAAAACAGACGACAAGAGACCTGAAGAAAGAAACTGTATTTGCTGCACGTCATGTGGCTGTGCTGTGCAAAAACTCGCAGTGTTGTGCCCTCTAAACAGAACATTTCAGTTGTGGTATCTTGGCACACGGGAGCGAAGAACTCGCAAGCTGCACCATTGCGGGAACGCCGTCCTCAGACGGAGATAATCACACTTGCAACGGGAGGGGAATGCTCGTTCAGCATCTGCAAGTAGAAAAATGACAGTAGCTTTCTGCTCGTTGCATAGTCTGTCAGTTGATGTTCCTAGATTTTTGACTATCTAACTTTTCACAGTCGTCCGGTCAGTGGTGTATATTGGTACAAACGTCGATGCCACGTCGTTTTTGCGTCTTTCCTTTCTAAATCTGTCTTGTCGCCTTCCGTTAAAACTAATTTATTGCGGGAAATGCACGCTTGCTGTCCTGTCCTTACGGGCGAGACAGGCCCAGTGAAGCTTTTGATTTACAGGACACGCAACCTACACTGGCACTGCAAGCGGCCCTTTGCGGGCCTTCGCAGTTGTGCGTCCGTGTGCCGGCAGCGCTGAGATGACCAAAAGGCCAAACAGGTATAGATGAACGACAAGAGCGAAATAGGCGCTGCTTCGGTTAAAGGCGAACAGCTGCATCCCGGGGCCAACTCTTCTGCGCATCCTCGAGAGCTCTGAGCATTTTAGACCAAAACGTTTGACTGCAAGGCACAGCAAGCAAGGAGGTAGACGCATCTACTGAAGCACCAGCGTAGCCTCTGCGTCACACAGAATCTCCTCGTTGGCAGTCAGCCTAATTTAGCGGCTTCTCATGCTCCAAGCTATAACTGGTAACGACCAGATGGCAAATAACCGACAGCCACTCACCAAAATTCTTGCGAAGCGTGCAAGACTCGTCAGATTCGCTGTTCTGTACAACCTGTTAAGGGAACAGATGTATACGGTAGTCCCGCGATTGAGGCCTGAGTGCCTTCAACTGCAAGGTTACCAATGGAGTTACAGATACTACGACGCGGGTGTGTGTGTTGCACTTCAAGCAGGGATCCTTAAATCCATGAATCCGCCCCCTCTGCTCAGCACATGGCGGTCTCACATCCCCAAAACCTGTTCATTCTCCGTTCTGTCTTTTGCTACCTTTCCCGTTACTCCAAGCACACTAAAAAGCAGATTGGCTGCCACCAGAAAAGGCAAGAAACAGACCACTTCCTTGCACCAGCGCATGTATGAAATAACGGCCGGTGCTTGTTCAACGTAAGATACTATTTTCAGACCACTGCTTGAAAGAATGCATGAGAATGCTGTGCAGGAATGGTCTGCCATGTAATATTCTCCACCAGCTGTCGATGAAACACGTGAAGTAATCTTCAACATGCACTTCTTGCCAACCCCAGAAACGTCACATGTGGTGAGAACATGAAGCAAGTTAAGTCGTTTCTGGCGTTTGGCAGTTTCTGGCGCTCTTCATGCCGACAAAATGACAGCAAACTTAGGATACCAGCTTCTTCTAGCAGCTAATGCCATACCGACAATATCATTTGTTTCTGCTTTCCGAAATTTCCACACTTCCAAGCGCCGTCTTAACATCAGAGGCCGAGGCAATTTCGACAACCGGCACACTCTTGCAGCAGCTGGTACTCCTCCAGAAGCATCATTCGTAGATCCCTTCAACGTTTTTCCCCCAAAAGGAGAAACGCGCAGCGGCACAGGGCGCACAAAAATATACGGCACAACAGATACTCAGAACCAAACCCAGCAAATAACAGTCTCATACGTAACCTGCCTCGCCAGCGCCACAACTGCTGATTTTTTGGCAATACCGTTGCCTCTCATAGACAACGATACGACTACAGTGCTGAAAACGCCTACTGCTTCATACACTCTGGCCACTCCACAGCTCCACAGCACACTAAGCCGTGAAAGCGGCACCATAACTTTCTGTGCGGTGAGATGCCAGGGGGCACGAGCATTACGACCGCTAGGAATGTGATGATGAAATCTGAACCGATGATCACAAGAAAGCATGTCTTAAAGCTAAATGCACGTGAAACAATGTGAAATCAATGCAGCACTTCCCCTAGTGACTGTATGTGCACCGCAACAAGAGTGGCATGGGATGATTGTGTATAGCTGCACATGCGTACGCAGAGCAACTGGGCGCACCTCCGTACGTAAATAAGCAAACCAGTATACACAGTACCATTAAAATAAGTGTTCGGGTGTCTCTCTAGAGGAGCATTTCGTGCAAAAAGCTCAAGTCCCCTGTGCAGTGGAGGTGGCCCCAGCCCCTGGGGCCCCACTTGACTGACCCCTGCTTCACCTCTTTGAATTTGCTGCAATATGTCTTCCTACAGGACAAAGGCACTAGGCTCTTGCAAACAGTGAAGGCCGTCTTCAGGCGCCTTTAGCCCTTTCCAGGCCTTCCACTTCCTACACTGGAACGGCTTCTACTTCCCCACCTCTAGGGCGGCAACAGCGCTGTAGTTCACAATAAGGAACCCACTGCTTCTCCGGTTGTCTTTTATCGCTTTATACTGTTCGATGTATCCCTTTTGAGTGGCCCTCTCAGCTCCCCGTTCCCTCGGGGATAACTCAGCGGCTCTCCCTGAATTCTTAGTCTGGATTTGTTACGGTGGCAGCAGCATTGCAGCAATATCTGTAGGGTACAAGTTTTGCCGGAAACAGACAGCTCGCGTTTGTTTTGGAAATATGTTTTGTTCTTCCGCAAAGGCGCCACAAATGAAGTAAAGTCGCCCATCATATGCAGTCACAGCCCACCTTGACGCTGCCTCCACCTAACCGTCCCCTCTGCTTCTCAGCCCTTCTCCCTGCACTTTGGAGGTTGCACGAATAGTGGGTGATAGGATTGCGTTGCTTCTTTTGTTTTTGGTCGTCCCTGATGCTATCTACTCTTTGCTGGGGCTGAGACTGTTGGAGGGCGTTCTGTGTAGCTGGGGGCCGCTGTTTGTCTGTTGCTGACTGAGGGTCAGTTGCTTGGCCACGCAGCAAACATCTGGCGGACTGCTGCTACTTGGGTCAGAGTGCATGCAACCAGGAGATGCCGGTGGAGTGTATAGACTGGCAGCGCTTTGCCTACGGGCAGACATCAGACAACAGCTCATCGCTCTCCAAACCCCCCCACAGTCGCTCTCCAGAAGATGCACAGAGAGAGGGGGAAGCAGCTTCAGCAGAGTCTGCCACTCCTGCTGCTGTGAGGGACGCGAAGGAGGTGGGGTCCTCCTCTGCCCCTGCAGCGAAGGACTCTGCGCCTTCAGACCCTGCGCCCTCCTCTGCAGCAGAGGCTCCGCGATCCGATGGCCGGCCAGCTGCTGCTGATGCTGCAGATGATGCTGCTGAGCCAGCAACGCCCCCCTCGCGTGTAGCTTCCCTGCACGACAGAGGGGGCGGCCGGTCGGGCTGGCTTTCCTTTGGGAGCAGCAGCGGGGGCAAGCACAGCGGGGCGAGCCGGAGTCGCCCGAGTCACGCCAGCAGCGGGAGCAAGAGCAGCAGCAGCAAGAGCAGCAGCAAGTCGGGCAGCAGTGCGAGCAAAAGGAGTTCATCATCAGTTGCTTCAGCACAGGAGCCCGGGGAAACCCTCTCGAAGAAGCGCAAGTTGCTGAAGGGGGGAGTTGCTGCGTGTGGGGCCACGAGCAGCGACGGCGAGTCATCTGCTGCAGCGCAGCAGCTCAGTGCTGCTGCTGGAGAGGGGCGTCTTTCTAAGGGCGGACGGAGTGTCTGCCGCAACACGAAGAACAGCAGCAGCAGCACCAGTGAAGGCGAGCCTTCAGACAGCGACGAGGAGTCGCTTGACGCGCTGCAGCTCTGTCTGCAGGAGTCGGAGGCCATGACCGACTTGTTGGTTGAAGAGCTGGGGGGCCCCACAGAGGAGGGCAAAACTCAAGTCCGACAGCAGATAGGGGAGGGCCGCTGCCACTGCCGCACGTCACTGGGCATTCCGAAGGCCCTGCAGCAGCACTGCGAGGAGGTCTGGGAACGCCTCAAAGACTACCAGAAATGCGGAGTCCACTGGCTAGTCTCCATGCACAAGGCCAACAGAAACGGCATTCTTGCAGATGAGATGGGACTTGTACGCAGCTCCAGGCCCTTCAAGAGGCCCTACGCGCTCACGAGAGCTTGGACCCCGGATCCAGTGTAGCCATAGGGATAGCCTTTCTTTGTATACAGCCACTGCAGCAGAGTATACTCGATGCCTTCGCTAGGCATAGTACAAGCCATTTGAAGTGACAGTATTAGGAGGTTACACAGCTTGGCACTCGTGGCATTTTTTCTATGCAAGATGCCGGAAACTGAATGATATTTATAAGGCCGCTATATTGTAGAGCAGATGAGACGAATTGGCCTAGTGGAGTGCTGCGTATAACTGGCTCATAAAGGCTTCATGATGCTGCTGCTATTCCTACTGCCGTTGCGTTTTCAGGGCAAGACCGCGCAGACTTGTGTGTTTTTTAACTACGCGTATTCCAGCGGTCTTTTGTCCACCCCAACTCTCATCGCTGCGCCTGCGTCTCTCGTGGACAATTGGGTGCGAGAGCTGGAAACTTGGGCCCCTCACTTGGCTGGGCGAGTCGTGAAGTATGCGGGGAAACAGTCTGAGCGGCGCAATATTGCCCTGGAGTGTATAGACAGCTTGCAGGGTTCAACGCCGTTTCGGGTGTTGGTGGCCTCTGTCAATTCGCTTTCAAACAAATGGGATGTTCAGTATTTGCGCCAGCTGAGGCCGTTTGCTTATCTTGTAGTAGACGAGGCTCACGCGCTAAAAAACAAAGATTCTCAGGTTTATAAGAACATCAACAAAATGGCTCGCTGTGAAAGGCGCATTCTGCTGACAGGGTGAGCGCAATGGGACATGATACACAGCGGGTAACTTCCGAAGTTTTCCAACATGTTGGGAGAAGTCGGAAACAGCCACGGCGTAGTCACCTAGGACTCTGTGGATACTTTCACTGCGCTTGACTTCGTTGATATGCTATGTTTTGTTGTCTTTTTGAGCAGCTCACCTATTCAGAACCGAACTGGTGAGCTGCGCAATTTGCTGCTTTTCCTGATGCCTGCGGTGTTTGATTCCGAGTCCCTCGACTTGGCCCTCACCGCCTTCGAGCGGCAAGCACAGCGCCAGCGCGCTTGCGAGGCAAAGGCGAAACTCAAAGCCAATAAGGCGCAGCAGGCGGGAGACAAGCAAAAAGGACGGCAGGAGCAGCTGCAGCCAGAGCAGCAACACAAAACCGAGCCTCCATCTGCAGCCGCAGAGGCCGAGGGAAACAGTGGCAGCAATAGCAGCAACTGCAGCAGCGGTGCCGGAAGCGGCCAAGAGCAGCAAAAGCAGCTGGGGGAAACTACGGATACACCTGAAGAAGAGAACAACGACAATGCGAATGACAGAAGCTTCTTAAGCCGCGCCTTTGCGACTTTGGCTTCTCGGGGGGCAAAGCGGAGCGAAGTCGGGAGACTGCCTGCCGACGTGACTTGCCTGCAGAGGGTGCTGTCGCCGTTTATTTTGCGTCGTCTTAAGAGTGAAGTGATGCAAGAACTTCCAAGAAAGACAAACATAGTTTTGCGGTGCGAGCTCGAAGGGTCCCAGAAGACCCTCTACCTACGGGAAGTTCGGCAGCATGAGTCCGACCTCGCCCTCTCCCTCAGGCGGCTCACTCAGTCGTTTGCCCTTGACGGCGACACAGACCAGATCACAAGCAGCGCGCGCAGCGGCACTGGCACTGCAGCACAGAAGGGGGACACAGGCTCAAGCGGCCAGCAGGCCAATGAGGGAGATTCCAGAGAACCTGGTGAGTGTCAAAGAGACCTGGGGCCCATTAATGTGTCATCCGTTTCCTCAGAGCTCTAGTTCGTGAACTCTAGGGCCTACGGCTCAAACGGTAGAGGACGCAGCAACCCTCAGTCGTCTGCGTATAGATGTGGCGATACTATTTGCCTTGTGGAATGGAGCAAACCTCAGTATTTGTGTGGGTCTGTATGTATTTGTATGTCACGCCTGTTGCACAGATGCGTTTGTTTGTATTTGTTGTTCAAGATTGGTGCGCCGATGTCAACTCGTACACTTGCGTCTTTTTTCCGGTTTCTGCACAGAAGCGGGCGGGAAACGCTTTGTGAGTAGCCTCCTGTTCCGCTTGAGGCGTATATGCAATCATTCGCTCTTGATGCAGGGACGATACACTTCGGAGCAGAAAGATGTGAGTAATTAGTTGCCATGAGTTGTTTCTTATTTGCCTCAGCAAAGGCACGAAGGCGGCCGTTGCTATCTGTGCCGTGCGAATACATTTTATATGGCTGTGTTCTCCGTGTGAACTTGTTTCTCCCAGCATCCTCCAATGTATTGGTCTGCCTTCTAATAACTTTAAGGGTGCCTCGCTCTGTCAAACTACCGCTTCAGGACCGGGGTATCTCCTTTAGCTTGTAGTGTGCGACTCTCGTGGTCTCGCTGTCTGCAGCGCATGGCGCGTCATTACGCTTATCATGTGGACGGGTTCAAAGGAAATCCTATCGAGAAAATCCGCGCAGAATTTGATAAGTGGAGCGACTACGAAATACACCAAGTAGGCAAATTGAGCCGCCTTCAGGAAGAGATAGCTTCGATGCTGCCCAGCTCTTGAGGTCTAGAATTGCTCCTTCCTTTGTCGGATTTGTATGGCTTCAAGGAGCCATACTTTGCTCATGGAGCCATTCCGTTCCTTGTGTTTATAAGCTGCTTGGCTTAAGTGCTGGCAAAGGGCCACCTTAACAGAGTAACGTAGAGAGGAGCAGCACTGTATTCTGTGTAGCATTGTGTGGACCTTGTTTTTAGGGCGTTCGCTTACTAGCCGAACAGGGAGACATGAAGCTTGCCGACCTTGCACTGCCTGCGGAGGCATTCCTTGAAAGCACGAAACTAAGGTTTGTCAGCAGAGCCAGAATGCTGCCACAGTGGAGGTGTCAAGCGTTGCAGCATGTCCTTGGCTTGTCTGTTAATGTCTTTTTTGCACGGCGCGTAGTTGACGCATTTTGCTGTTTTGAGTTTGTTTTGTGTGCGTTCAGAAAGGCCCTTGAACTTCTGAAGGAAGTGCAAAACAAGGGAGAGAAGGCTTTGGTGTTCAGCCAATTTACGACTTTCCTAGACGTTGTGGAGGAGGCGCTGCAGCTGCACTTGCCGACTTTGCGATTCTGTAGACTGGACGGCTCCACCGTCGTGGAAGAGCGACAGCGACTTGTTGATGGATTTAATCAGACTGAAGAATGCACTGCTTTTCTCTTATCTACCAAGGCAGGCGGGCAAGGCCTTAACCTCACTGCAGCGCGCACTGTCATTCTTCTAGATCAGGTCAGTAATATAACTTAGGGATGCGCGATGTGAAGCTTAGGCTGGCTTTACTCCACCTTCTGGGGATGCACCGATTTGTTCGTCATAAGTGGCACAATGAGCTGAGCTAGCTGTAGGCTTCGTAGCCTACGCTAGCCAGTATCGGAGGGCTAGGCTAGACGTACTATTACCTACGTTGCACCTCGAAATTATAACTCCATCATAAACTAATTTCGTTTTGGTCTTCCACCTCTGTTGTTGGGTCAAGGAGGTTCCAAAGTTCAGCTTGTGGCTTACGTCATTCCTCCGTGATTTCGCTATAAATGTTTCGATACACGCCGTGTATGAGTGGCGGAAACCATTCTTCGTTTCACAAAACGAGTTGGGGTCATTTTGCTCTGGTGCGACATATACAGGACTGGAATCCGCAGAACGACCGACAGGCTGAAGACCGAGTGCACCGCCTGGGCCAAACTCACGAAGTGACAGTTTACCGCCTTTGCTGTCGAGGCACAGTGGAAGAGTCTATTCTCAAGGTTCGGCTTGAGAAACTGGGGCAGTCATGCGTCTGTTGCTCACGACTATGTTTTTGCGGGAAGCTTTACCTTTAGCATCTTCGGCGTAGTCCTTGGCCTTTCAGTGCCGAGCACATGACTAGATTCACTATATGGATATAAATGATGCGCACGCCCTCACATTCTTGTCATGAGAAGATAGTTTGAATGAGCTGAGTTGCGTGTTCTCTTCTTCATGTGCTGCATGATATTCAGTGCTGTCAGCGAAAGCTGGATTTGGACAGCGCCTTTGGAGGCAACTCGGAAGTTCTTCAAGCAGCAATATTGCGAGTAAGGCGCTTAATGCACTCGTTTAGCCTCTAAGCCTGTTTGTTGCTGTGTCTTGTTTCCTTGCAACATGAATACGTCACCTGTTCGCTCTTATTTACAGGATTCACTCGAAAATGGTGGCGTCGATGGAATGGAACCGCTTATGCACCTGAGTCCACCGGGCACCAAGAGTTCGTCTCCGTAGTCCTGTTGACGGCCTGGCCTGTACTTTGTCCTTTAGTGGTGGCAGCATTAGATTTGTTAAGATAACTTGTGCAGCCGCTTGTTTGTTGAGCCGCGGGGTCTATGGGCTACGCCGTAGCACAACAGTGAATTGCGAAAGACTGTACAGGATATCACGACCGTCTATGCACTTCATCATGGGGCATAGAAATAGCAGCTATTCAGATTTGCTTTTGCGAGCTACGTGGTCCCCAGTTCGCTTCCTCTCGTAATGTTGCTATCGTGTGTGCAATGCACGCCAACTATTCCTCCTTCATTTCGTATTTTTTAGTCCGCATTTACGGAGACGTCGGCGTGGGCAGTGCGCAAAATCTGAAATGACTTTAGGTCTACTAAGCAGTCAACGCCCTGCCCCTTGTGGAAGTCAACCTAACCTACTGCTGTTGTACAGGATACCGCGCTTCGAAACGTTACAGAATAGGGGGCATCCAGTCGAGCTGCTCTTGAGTGAAGCTGACATATTACAGTTTTTTTTCCTAGCAGAGATGGCCCCTGAAGTACTAGAGTACTCAAAACAGTGGCCCGATGAGCTGGTGTGTTTGAGGCGTGACGGGTGATGCTGCAAGAGGCGAAGAAACAGAGCGAATATTGTGGCCCACCTTGTTTAGTATTGTTGCATTGGCATTTCTGGCGTCGCTCTGTGCGAGCAGTGCAAATGCTCCACGGGGTTTTACCACTTCCAGGGACATCTTGCCAGGCCCCACAAGGCGCTGAGATTAAGCCACGTGTATCCTTTAGCTGCGTAACGTCGTGTGGGGTGCTACAGCAGTGTCTTTTTAATATTAGAGAGGTCTCCAGTGAGGGCATTCGGCGAGACTAATCAGGCTATTTGCTATTGGTTGTAGTGCTGGCGAGAGCTGCTGGGGAGGATCCCCCGTTCTTGAATAGTTCTCTGTGAAGTAGCGAACTGCGCCATATGAATTAGGTAAAAGTCTTGAGGTGGGCTTACTACACTATGAGACAAAACTGCGTGGGTTTTAAGGACACCGAAATGTTGTGGTTAGGTGGTTCATGCGCAAAGAAGACAAGGATAAGCAGTTGTGTCGGCCAGTAGGGATTGCTCGTGAAAATTGACGAAAGGACGGGAAACTCTATATAGCTGATAAGACAGTGTAGTCTGGCTTGGAAGCACGAGAATCGTATCCTTTATTTGAAAGAATGACAGTAGCAGGTGTGAACACTCCCGCATGACGCCAAACCCCCACAGAAGTACCGATCAAGCCCAGCAATTCAAGAAAAAATACGGGAAAAATAGTTTTGTTTAGTCTATTACTAGCATGGGTGAATGCGTGTTCTTCGTCGGGCGTAGCCGAGCAGTGGCCCATCAAGGCCGCTCCCGCCACCTGAGGTCAGGGAGCGTGTGTGGGGGGGTGTGTGCCGAGTGCAAGAACGTCGCTCCGAACACATATTTCAAGCAGTTTTTCACGACGGCTTCATATTTTGCATTTGTTTTATGTGCTTCAAGGCATGGGAAGGCTAGATCAGAACCACGGTCCATCGTGCGGTCAGGAAGACACCGACCACTTGCAAACCATTTTGACCGGCATTGCACATTTTCGCGTTCAGGACCGGCTGATGCCTGCTTGCATGTTTTAACATTTCCTTTTGTTTTATACAGAATATTTTTTGCTTTGCTGCTGTTTTTCCTTTGGAAACAGAACTGACCCAGTGCGGCCGACAGGTCTTGTCGTTCCCATGAGAATCTCCCAACTTCGCTTTCTTTCGCGGCTTGCCCGCTTCGACCCTTTATGCGTTCTAGCTTTTCTTATAGTAGCTTTCCCCGTGCAATCCCTCAGTCTTAATTTATTTGTGCCATCGGGCGTTTATACTGGGGCGGACGAAGTACTTGATCTAGGCGTGAAAGAACAAGTCACGGAAGGGCCGCTGGTCCAAGAACTAGAAGAAAATGAAAGCCCCTTGCACTGGTCTCTTTTTACTGGTTTTGAAGCTTCACAAACGTCTGGAGTAAATGAGGGTAGAGGAGATGGGTTCTTAGGATGGTTTCTTTCGTCTTGGGCCGGTGAGTTTCAGATTGGCACGGAGCTCCTCTAATCCTGAATATAAAATAGCCCAAGCAGTACTAAATCAAAAAGCACAAGCAATAAACGCTCATGCATCCAAGATACCACCTCTAAGAACCTTGTAGAACTTCATTTTGCACAATGAGACAAAAATAGGCCCACCAGAGCAGGGTTGTACTGCGATATTCGTTTGTTATGTGTGACACATTGCCCAGCCGGGACTTGCGAGAATGGGGAACTGACAAATCAGGCTATCATAGACTGTGCCAAAGATGCTGCAGCTTCCTCCACTTACAAGCATGGCAAACGCTACTACGCGGTAGATGGCTGTTGGCTGAAGTCTGCAAAACAGTGGGCAGCACAGCCTACTGCCACGCATACTAAGGAAGAAAAACAAGTTATTCAGACTAATGACATTCTTTTTCCTGGCGGCGTTGCGAGAACTGCGGCTTTGGTCCACCTGCGAGGACTCCTATTCGGTCTCGGTCTCACTGTCTCAGCAGAAAATTGTCCTGAACACGAGCCGAACACATACGGGTTAGTCTTCCTTCCCTTCCGCCATATATATTACACAAGATGAATTAAATGTTCATTAATTTCCCCATATACATACGGATTCGTAGCTTCCCACAAGTAATCCTTAGTTTCACTGCCACTGATAGAGGACGAATTTTCCGACATCTACATAGCTCAGCACTTTACCAGAAAGCCACCGAGCACTTTTCTCTGCTTTAGTGTTGTTCTTTCAAAAGCGCTGTGAATATGCAATATTATCAGTCTGGCCAAAGCAGTGCAGTCAGTAGTCTCCATCACACATTTTGCCCTCTGTAGTGTGATGGCGTGTGCACCACCACCCATACAATCAAGAAAGAGCTACCAATCTGTCAGTCCTTCCCATGTCCTCAATATACAGTTTTATTCTTTTATCTTCATTCTTGACTGTTCATGTATGACATTACTAGGTTTCCATTACTTATTGATACACCACGCATTAATATTTTGGCCGCACTGCCTGGTACATGAGCTCTCTTCTACTAATGCGTCATTGACTGAGTAACTAACTTAGACACTGCCATTCTTCCTGCTTTTGCTGAAATGCGAGGGTTTGCTTTTTGCTTTCAAAACGCAGGATCGAGGCATCGGATATCGTGCGTGCAGCTACTAGCTGGGGTGTCGACTTCCTGAAGGCAAGTGCATTTGCTAATTCTTGTGGTGAAGCCACCCCAATTGCGATTGGCTAAACTAGTACTAAAGTGCCTTTGACGCCTGCACCAAGCACCAAGCAGTACCTGATCTATTTCGAGCACGGGCTCCTTTCACTTTAGAAAGTTTAGTAAAAGGCGTTTATTTATGTCATTCCGAGCTTGGCGTAAAATCAGCATGCAGAAGTTCGTCTAGTTTGTTTCATGCTTGAGACTGCATGAACAGTGGCTGCGTGTGTCCGCTGCAGCTGAACTCATGTGCCAGCAGCACTCCGCAGGCTCTCTTAGAGTTTAGAGAGTGGAGAAAAGTGGTGAATTCCCAGAAGGCGCCTCTTTCGCTGCTTTGTTCGTGGACAAGGCAATCTTCCGATAGCGGAGAGTGAGATGCAATGAAAAAGCAGCTTGACCTCAGTATTAAGTCAATGCAAATTCAACGCATCTGTTGCTAATGCAACTGTAAAACCTAATCGAGAAATCAGGCTATGGCTAGAGCCAGAGCTGAAAACTAAAATTAGGGATGTGAAAGCCACTTTAAAAATATTGTCCAGTGTGCTGCTCGCAAGGGGCTTGAAGAGTACATGTATCTTTGCCTTCTCCTTCTGCTGCAGTGATGAAGACTTTGAGGACTTTCATTTATTGTGCGACGAGTTCATAGATAACGGAAGAGCAGTTAAGGGCGGGTCACGGTTAGCGGCTGAGCTGGACTCGTGGCTACTTGCACAGCCCCACGGTGAAGATGTCAGCTGGAGAGGCAGCCCTAAACTCCAGAGGCAGTGGTCGGACCCGTCATCGGAGGCAGAGCTAAAGACAAATCTAGCAATGGCTGTGAGCGGTAGCCAGCGAACAGAGAGGTCTCAGCTATATTGGATGAAACGTTGAATGCAACAAGGCACATGAAATGCAAAGAGAGACAAGGCAGTTCTGAATGCTTGCCGCCCACACCATTTTCTGTTGCCTCGACACCTTCGTGATACAAAGTGACACTGTTTCCTGCCTCAGGCTGTCCTTGGATCTCGTGCCTTCGTCCAAGCCTCCAGTGTCGCTGACTTCAAGATGCAAAGTGGGTAAAGGGCTGGACAGTCAGATAGGGATCGCTCTGAGCAACTGTGCTGTATATGTCTCATCAATCCGTGTTTCTCCGCCCTACAGTAATTCAAGAGCTTACTTGCCTCTGCATAGAGACTGTCTTGTCCTGCTTACTCTTAAATGTCACAGCCAGACTGCTGGAGGACAAGGTGCTGCTGGCGGCTTTTGCAGATCCGATGAGGGGAACAGGTTCGTCTTCTGTATCCACCTCACTGCAAGAACCAAATGGGTTCAGCGTGTATTTATGCCTTACGGGCCTTTCACTGTCTTATTCCTGTAGTCTGGTTTAGTTAATTGATTGGCTGCGATGGTAAGCAAGAGACAGAATCACAAAAGATGACACGGACAAAATTTCGTATCTGCCTCTGTACAGTCCGCCGTATCTCCGCCGCCGACGGCGTTTCCATGCTGTCTCGCCAGCTGGCGGATGGCGACCACGTGATAGCTCTTCTAAATTGGAGGAGTGAGCCCTTTTCTATCAAAGCATCGCATACGGAAATAATGAATTGGTGCAACCTGCAGAAGCCCGTGCCCTTCAAGATATCGCAGGCTTGGGAAACCCAGCAGCGTCGGCTTGCAAAAGATGACAAGCAAACGCTGACCTATACGCTGCAGCAGCTGGGGGCGGTGCTGCTGCAGGTAGAACTGACTGACGATCTGTAAGTCGCAAGCTGCATCGCATTTCTTTGTGTTGCTTCTGTCAGTACAGCCGCACACAGCAGGCAGAGGCAGATATCCTGTAGGCTTTAACCCCTTCCCTTTGGGCAGTTGGAAAGCCAGGAGCGGCTTGTCTCGTGTTTATGTTTCTTTCACTTTCGCTGCAGAGCTGAAAATGAAGAGGCTTCGCTAATGTACAATCCCCACATTTTCCAGGAAGGCAGCAATAAAAGCAGCAGCACTGGGGGCCTGCTTACAGTGGATGTGCTGCACAAGCGCGGATCTGCACCTCTGTTCACTGCGGGCAGCCGTCTGCTGCACAGAGAAAACCCAGGAGAGATAAAGAGTGTCGAAGCACGTGAGGGCGGGTTCGGGAGAATAACTGGAAATGAAGAAAAAAATAATGGGCTCTTTGATTCTGCGTTTAAAACCGTGTTCGGGCTACTGCTGCCAGTGGTTCTCGCGTCGGCCCTGGGCGGCAGCGCGGCCGCAGCAGCAGATTCAGACGTGGGAGAACAACAGTGGTCGCACCACGAAGGCCACCACCACAAGCACCACAAAAAGAGGCATCACTATCACCACACATATGGCAAACATAGCCACGAACAGCCGCACCAGCAAAGCGGGGAGCCGAACGTTCCGCACACGCAGGCGCGCACGCAGCCCCACGAATCTTCCGTCCCAAAGGAAGGCTCAAGCACAGGCCTTCGGCAGCGCAAAGCAGATGAACTCGCGAACAGCAGCAGCAGCAGCAGCGGCAGCAGCAATAGCACGAATAATACCAGAAGTGCTGGCGGTGCCTGGCTGCTTCTGTGTGGAATGGCTGTGTTGGTGTGCATGGGCATTGTAGCGGCGTGGAGAGCTCTGTTAATTAGGAAGCTACGCAAGAAGACTTTGGGGAAAGAAAGAGATGCAGAGAGTCTGGTGGAGAGGCCCCATGCACAGTAAAATACGCTGAGGACGGCGACAGCACCAATGGCAGTAGCGATGGCCAGCCAGGATATCTTGTGCTGCTCCGAGGCGAAGACTTCCCTGAAGGCCTTTGTCTATATTCCATTTCTAAGGCGGCTCTAGTCGTGAGATGCACTCAGGCCGAAGAAAATCTCTGCTCTCCTCTCCAGTGCAGCCATCAGCTCGTGTCTTGTCTGCACTTGGCAGACTGTTGTAGCACGGTAGTGTCTTACGTGCGATATCGGCTTTAAAGTTGTATCCACTTATATTTGTCTCATTCTCTATCACCTCGTTTACGTGTCCGCGTCTGGACATTTGCTGCACGTGGTAGACTTCAGGGTGTACGTAAGTTGGCATAGTGCTTCTTCTTTCCGTGCCACAGAGCCTATTTGTCAGTGGCACTTTAGCTGGCGCTACAGCTTCCCTCCACCACGCTGTTACTGCTTGAAACCATTCAAGATGCACATGCGCTGCCAAGTCGAGGCAGCAATTTGGCAACGTCGGCGCCTATGCCCCCTCTGGGGCGGTCAGTGCCCCGTTCCCCGGCTTAAGCCGAGGCCTTTTGAAATAACGGGTGGGTGGCTACGCCCTTAAAGTGGCGGCGGTGTTGGCAGCGGCAGCCGCCACCCAGTAAGTGCGCTGAGGCGTTATTTCTGGCAGCCCCACCCATTAACTACGTGCGTTGCAGTTCATTATAAAATAGCACTATTCAGCAGGTGCGAGTGCGACATGCACGAGCAGACAAGCATAGCCGTGTCACGTTGAACTCAACACTCCACAACACAACGTTGTATTATTTTGGGTTGTTTCCATGTCGTGCCTTTCTTCTAAGAATTTTTTCAACGGAATGCTTAATGTACTTCACCACCACAGACTCGTGCAGCTTGGTGCTGTTGGTGCCGCCGTACTCCCTAGGAAGGTGCTGCTCGCCCACATGCCGTTTCAGGGCCGGCTCCCACTTGCTGCGGCTGCCGTAAGAGGTGAGGTTGACACCGTTTCTTAGTATTTTGGTAACAAGGACAATAACTGGATTCAGAAATGAGGGCACATTGATCAGAAACACCTGCCCTGTCCGCTCCCCCACGTACGGCACTGTGCTTTCTAGACCTTCCACAATGGAATCCAGCACCATTTTCACGCTGCCATTTACCACTTTCCTGAACGGAAAGCCCCCTGCGTCTATGACCACTGTCAGTTCGCTGCTGGCCCTCTTGTCCACATGTTTCCAGAAGAAAAGCGCAAAGTAACGAATGAAATCACTCAGCTGCTCGTGAGTCATCTTCTCCACGACGTCCCACACGATGGAGCCGCTCTGAAACACAAAACAGAAACACATTTTTAGTGAAACATGCCCTATCAACCCAAATGCAAAAATATGACGGACTCAGGCTTACAGAAGAGCCGAGTCACTCTGTCATGGACAGCCAAAAGACCTGTAGCAACGAAAAAGCAGTCGACAGCTGCAGGTAGTACTGATCAGCTGCAGGCACCACTGATGCTATGCAGCGTGCATCTCACTTGGCAAAACGCCAAGTAGTTCCCATTTTTGTCTTTCCCATATATGGACAGGGGAACAGCACCGAGAAGACTATGGAAAAAGCGCGGGGGGCTTGCAAGAATGCGATCAACCTCTGCTTCCTTGCCGGGCAAGATGGGACCTTGCTGCACTTCCGGCTGCTGCGGTTGTTGCGGCTGTTGCTGCTGCTGCTGCTGTTGCGGCTGCTGTTGCTGCTGTGGTTGTTGTGGCTGCTCTACCTGCAGCTGCTGCTGCGGCGGCTGCTGCTGCTGCGGCTCCGGTTGCTGCAGCTGCGGCTCCGGCTGCTGCTGCTGCGCCTTTTGTTCGTCTTCCTGCTTTGAAACAGACTGGAAAAATGAAGTGTGGGGCTCTTCAGCGAGAACATGACTGCAGAGTGCGAGGGAGAAGAAAGAGCAAACGAGCCACCGCCGCGCCCTTGAAGCCGCCATGGTGAGTCGCGAGACGAACTGCCGCAGATGCACAAATTAGTAGAAATGTAGACAATAGACCAAGTGGCTGTAAGGGATCAGTGGAAGGTACAAAGGGACAAGAAATTGGCAGTGCTCGTCAGCCAGCACTACAGAGAAGGCAGTGAAACGAAGAAGCGGAGAAGAGAGGGAAGGGAACGAGGCAATGAGCAGCAAAGGGGGAGGTATGGAAGAGCGCGACGGAAATGCCCGGTTCTTTTTCTAGCCAGTTTCTATCAAGATCGCACACTTCTAGTCACTGTGCACCAAAGGAACCTGGATTTCACCCTGCCACTCGCCGTTTCAGTTCAGAAACCAGAAGCCGCCTCCCCCTCCTCTGCGTAGGATCCTTCTGGGTACCTGGTCTTCTTCTGCCATTAATCGCAATTGCTGATTAACAAGGACAGCGCTGAAAGATGAACTACCAGAAAAGTTAGCAAGAGGCTCCAGTGGACGAGTGATTCGAGATGGCACCGGGGACGATATGTCTGTACTGGCAGTAAAATATGTTGTAATATGCAAACATTCAAAAAACGCTATTTTCCTATCAACTAAACTCAATCTGACCAATTCAGCTAAAGGGCAGAAACCACAGAAAAAAGGACACTGAACAGCAGCAGCTTCCTGCAGCAGGGGTGGAGTGAGAAGCGCAGCGCCGGGCACTAGAACTAGTTTAGGTCCGGGGAACAAAATAGAGTGGGTTGATAGGAAAGCATCACTGCAGCTAATTAATGACATATCTCTTGGCTTCAAAGTCGATTGAGCCTCATGGCTTGCTTGGCAGCAGAACGCCGTTTGGGGCTGGGCGTAGGGAAGATGCCCCTGAGACAGTGTTCAAGTAAGAGCAACTTGGGAACTCGAGACTCGCCCGGATAATGTACCTCTGCTGTAGAAACAAATGCTAATAAGATTTAGACGCCAAGGGGGGCTCGCACTTAAGGCAGAACTACTAGTTGGCGAGCCTTCACCCAGTTGCTGCTAGTTTGACGCGGGAGGCGCTCGACGGACAGATGACCTTCTTACCGGCAGCCAATAATTGCCTTTTTCCAGCCTTTTGTGATATACACTGAGTATAGAAATCGATTAAAACATATTAAACCTGTTTTCCGGAGGCAGAAGTGGAGCAGTTGAGCCCTCAAGATCCTGTACTGCTGCAGACTTCACCCGCCAGTTAGCCAGAGAAAATAACAAAGAAAAACCTCAAATCCCCTAGAACGCACACCTGCCGACTGCCGTGGTTCTCAGTCTACCACCTGATCCAGTTGGGATTTTGGAAAATCAAACGGCGAGGGTGACAATATCCCTTGCGGGATCCACTCCCTCATCCCATAGTGTTGAGTGCAATGTGTTGCGTTGAGTTACTGATACAAATAGTTAGGAATTATTCAGGCCTCAGTGAACTTCCATGAAGCGACGGGGCCTACAGGGTTAGATTGTCGCCCTAGCTGTCGAAATCAGCCCAGTGGGACTTGGAGATTATCTCAAGCTTGCTGAGGCCGCCAGAGAAACCCCAAATCAGCGTTTCTCCCTATGTGGATCTAGCGCCTCTAAGTGTGGCTGTAATCTAGCCTACGAGAGGCTAGCGTACCATCTATGATCCCCGGGTTCAGGTTTCTTTTGAGTACATGAGCTGCAATGTTGCAGTCGCCTGTCTTCTACTTTATTCTGTACATGTGTGCTGCAGCTACTCACACTTTCTATTTCTTGTCTTCTACGCGTTGCTCTCTCTTTCATGTCCGAGGCTAAGAAGGCAAGCTGCATGCAGCTTTCCTTGCTGGCCTCTGACTTCTGTGTAGTGCCTTTGCCTCTGCATGCGGCTAGTTCATCTTTTGCTCATTTGTTTCTTTCCGTCTCGTTCATGATTGGCGAAGTTTTGTGAAAGAAGGTTCCGTGGAGGCTGCAAGTCTCTCCTAAGATGCAAATAAAAATTATAAAATTCAAAGACAACTGGCGAGGGGGGCGCAGCCCTTTGCCCTCTGCTAAAAACAATACGCGTTGTGCGGCCTTTGCTTTCCGCGAACGAAATAAACAAAGACAAAGAGAGAACAGGAAAAAAACACAAAAATAGGGACAGCACCATATGGTCTGCCTCTCTTCTCTCCATTTGAAAGTTTCTCCCCGCGGCAATACAACATTCAAAACCGAACACTGCCTGCTGTCGCTGTCGCTGTCGCTGCTGCTGCTGCCGCTGCTGCTGCCGCTGCCGCTGCTGCTGCTGCGGCTCGTGAGATGGCTGTCTTTGCTGCTTCCACGAGCTCTTTGTCAGCTGCTGGTTGTCACGCAGTTGTGCCGAGGCCTGCCGGTGTGGTGCTTCCGCGGGTGCATGGCAATTCTGCATTTTGGTGCAGCTGCGGCCTCAGCAACTTGCAAATAAATAATAAAGTCTCTGGCGCTGCTGCAGTGCTACATACTGACATTTTCCTCAGACTGTTGCTCGCTGGCCGAGTGCGCTGCGTTCCACCGGTCCCGCACTGTGTGGTTTTTGCCAAGTTCGTAAGCCAAAGTGCTCCACTTTCTTTGGTTTAGAATGGCTCTCAGAATGGCCCCTGGGGGCCAGCCGTACTCTCCCACCTTTTGTTTGCTGTTGGGGTCTTCAATGTCAATGGCAAATGTGATCTTGGAGGGATGGATGTTGCTTTTGTTCAGCAGCCGCAGGAGCCCGTGGCTCATGCCCAGCTTGAAGCAGTTCTCGAGGTTCACGCTGCTCACCGTGACCTCCACGGGGCCTCCGCCCGCTCCCTGCTGCTGCTGCTGCGGCTGCAGCTGGCGTACGAGTGCGCCGGAGGCGCTTCTGACGACTGGGGCGCTGCAGTACTTCGTAGCTGCTTCTTTGAGTTCGCAGGGGTCCCCCTGGAAAGAGGGTTTGAGGAGTCCGAGTTTCTGGAGATCTCGAATGGGGAAGACGAGGGCTTTCCCGGTGATGACAATGGGGGCTTCTGTGGACATGAAGTCGAAAATTTGTCCCACAGTGTCGAAGCCAGTGTAGGAGGCTTCCTGGTTGGCGGGGAGGGGGAGGGGGGGGTCGAGAAGTATGCTGCTAACTGCAGCAGCGCATGCAGCGAAGTCGCCAGTGCCTTCCATTTTGCTGCAGCCCTCGATGGCGAGGCGTTCCTCCAGAGGCTGTTCAGGATTGATTCCGGCAGCAATGCAAGAAAGGCGGTTGAGAGCCTTTTTTGCGATTTCGTCATTTGTCGAAGTGCAGTAGTAAGCTGCAGGTTTCAGGCGCTGGCGCTGCAGCTGCTTCGAAACAGCAACGGCGCCTTCCGGGGAAACCGAAACATCCCCCGTGGAGCACTCTTGCTGGTAACCCTTGGGAAGACAGGGGTTGAGGCAAACTCCGTTGCGGAGGTTGTCGGGGTTGCTGCAGTAGGACTTGTAGAAAATGCCAGTGGCGCTGCTGGCGCCAAGTTGCATGTAGGAAGTGGACATGATGTCCACGCTGGGAAAGTCGCTGCTCAAGTAGCCCCCAGTGGTCAAGTTGGTGGTGTTCACAAAGGAGGGGCTGCTGCCGACTCGGTAGACGGGAAAGACAATTTGTGCAGAGGCGCCGCCAACTTCGACGATGCTGGTGAGGGTTTGGCTCAGGAGGGTTTCGAGCTGCTTCCTTTCCGCGGGGGTTTGGGTTTTTTCGAGGTTTTCTTTGATTTGTTTGGCGCGCGCGAAGCGCCCCAGCAGCTGGTTCGCAGCTACGAAAGCCAACATGCCTTCTTCGACTCCGGGGATTGGCCGCGTCCACTCTTCGTTGGTGAAGAACACAAAGCCTTGGGAACTGGAGTAGCTGTTAATGGCTTCGATGAAGGAAGCAAAAAGACCCCGGCGGTACCAGTCGTGCGTGTCTCGAACTCCTGCAGTGCTGAAGAAGATCACGGGAATGCCCACGGTCTTCGCTTCCTCCTGTTCATATTCGGAGAAGTACTTCTTTACCAGCTGCTCGCTGCTGCGCAGCACGCTGCGCAGCAGGTCTCCAGCCTGCTGCCGCATGCGCGGGAACTGCTGCAGCAGCGCATGCGAGTCCACAGCCCGCGAAGCCCAGCCAGGACCTGCTGCTTCGTCCAGCCACTTCTCCATCAGCTGCCGCAGCCCTTCGAACTTCGGACCTTCTTCCAGCTGCCGCAGACTCTCCGGCAACACCCGCCGCCCCAGCCCGAAACAGCTTTCCGACATCACTCGAAACAAAACTCCTCGAGTTCCTGTGCTGCCGCCGTCCACCACCAGCACTGGACTTGACGAGTGCCGGCACTGCCGGCTCAGCAGCAGCAGCTCCGTCAGCTCCGACGGCTCCGCTGCAGCAACTCGAAACCAAACACAAAGCCTTGTGCAGAAACTCAGAACAAATTCAAGTTTCAGACTAATTTCACAAAATGGAAGGTTCTGGTAGGGAAATTGAACTCAAAAAAGAAGAAAAACTCGATTTGCAAAGGCAGCACAGCTGCATGCAGAAACAGCAGCATTGGGGAGGCAGCAAACGCGAAACGAAACGAAAAACGGGAAAGAGACGGGAAAACGAAGCAGCAAATAGCACTTTATCTAGAAAAGTCTATTTTACAAAGCTGCAATATAATTAAATGTTTCTTGTTATCGAAAAAACAAAAAGAAGAAAAAGAACTCACTTGGAGCTGAAGGCTGAATGCCGCATGCAGCTTTTGTGGCGGAGTGCAAGTGCGAACTCAAAGCAGTTGCAACTCCCACCAAGTCTTTGCTGCTGGTGGCTTTGCTGACGCGGCTGAGTGCTACTGCTTTCAGCGCAGCCTCGCGGTCTTCTGCAGTCTTCGTCTCAGCTGCTTCCTCGGGCTCCTCCCGTTGCTGCTGCTGCTGCTGCTGCTGCTGCGGCTGCTGCTGCTGCTGCTGCGGTGGCTGCGGCTCGGCGCCTTGCTCCTGCTGCTGCTGCGAGGCTTCCAAAGTGTCTGTCTGACTCTGTACATCCGCTTGCGCGTCACCTGCTGCTGCTGCTGCTGGGGGCGCTGCTGGTGCTGCTGCTGCTGCGGGTGCTGCTGGTGCTGCTTCTGCTGGCGCCTCTGGTGCTTCTGGAGCTGCTGGCGCTGCTGCTGCTGCTGATGCTGCTGGCAGCTCTGCAGTTAGTGCAGAGTCATCTTGAGTCTGCCGCGAGGGCGAGACCCGCAGCTGCAGCGCGAAGGAGGGGCTGGGGCCAACTGCCGTGCATAGCAGCAGCAAAGCAGCAGCAGCAGCAGCAAGGCGGGACCTCATCTTATGAGTCATGCCGCTAAAAAGAAATGAAAAAAATGGAGAAATTCGACGAACTGCGCTGTCTTGCAAGATAGAGCCTGAGCAGGAAGCAAAAAGATACACAATCTGCTTATCTTTTGTCGACTACAGGGGGACAAAGCTCAGCTTGCTGCTGCTGCTGCTGCTGCTGCAGGTGCTGCTGCTACAAGTGAAGCTGCTGATGTACTACTCACATCCAGCGCTGTTGCTGCTGCTGCAGCTGCAGGGGCGCCGTAGCTGCAACAAGTGACCCGGGGCACTGGGCTCAGGCTGGGGTGTACGTGCACCTGAGGTGCATCCGCAGGGACTTGTCCAGAACCGTTTTTGAATTTCAGAAGAATGAATAAGAGTTTAAATTTGCAAGTGGAGACTGACAAATGCTTCTGTCTGCCTACTTGAGGCGCTGCCGGTCCCCTAATGTCCTTCTTTGGAGTCTCGAGGACTCAGGCGCGGGAAGAAGGCCCTGCCGGCTTCGGAATTTAGAGAGCAAAAGTGCAAAATGCAAACAAAACGCAAAGAGACAGGCCGTGTGCGGCGTCAGCAGCAGCAGCAGCAGCTGCTGCAGCAGTAGCAGCAGGAGCCGCAGCAGAAAGGAGAGAAGCTGCAGCCGTCGCCGCAAGCACAAACCCAGTAGAAGCTACAGGAGTGGCTGTGCAGCAATAAAGATAAAGAACAAAATGGTTAAGTTTATTTATTTCTCTTTATTCTCTTTTCTTGTTTTCAGACTGAGACCGATGAGGCCCAGGGCACAGCCACTAGCGGTCGCAGCCGCACAGCCCTGGTCCGTGGCGCGAGTTCTCCATCACTCTTCGTGAATTTTACTTCTTTAAAGTGCAAAATGAATCTTTTTTGCAATTTAATTCATAAAATATCTTTTAATTATATTTTTTTCCGTTGTTTCCCGCAGTTTGCATCGCCAACAGCCCGCAGCCTTCTCGACGCCGAGCCGCGGGGGGCCGACGGTCGACGGACCGATGGCCCACATGGCCTTCACTGTCTTCGCCGGTATTTTCCCGCATTTTCGCTTCAAATTTGTTTTAATTATTCAAAATTATTAATTTAAATTAATTATTTCGCGTTATTTCGGGTTTTTGGGGCTTTCGTGCGCCGCCGCGGCGCTGCAGACCGCGTTTGGGTGACGGGCATTCAGAGACAAAGAAAAGCAGCAAAAGACAAAAGCCAGCAGCAAAGTGCAGCACTCTAGCAGCAAAAAGTTCTTTTTACTCTTTAATTTGCTGCCCGGGAAGCCCCTGCTGCATGCAGCAGCAGCTCTACATCGAATTAAAGAAATTTCCGAGTTTCACGAAGCACCTTGGGGCTTTAGCTGCCTGCAGGTAGCCAGTTAGCTCCACGCGCTGCTGCAACGCCGCACACCAGTTCTGCTGCAAGCAGCAGCAGCAGCAGCGGGAATGCTTCAAAAAGCAAAACGAAGGGGAAAAAAGGCTTTCTTTTTGTTTAATAAAGGAGAACTGGCGCTGGGGATTCTTAGGATCCCTAAGCTGCTTCAAAAAGCCCGAAAAATGGCTCAAAATAGCTCATGAACATAAATATAGAATGTGTGTGCATGCACGCATGCATGCATGCACACACACACACAGATAAATGTTCCTAAAAAACAAACTTAGTCCGAATTTTTAATGCTTTTAAATGCATTTAGACAAAAGATTTCAACACTTGAAAGGCACAAGTCTGCGGCCCCACACCCAAGAGGCAGGGCCTTTTTGCTGCTGCTGCTGCTGCTGCGAGGCCCGTAAGGTGCTGCTGCTGCTGCGACACCCCGATGTGCTGCTGCTGCTGCGCTGCTGCTGCCCTGCGAGCAGCCTTTGGGCCCAAAGGGCAGCCAGCTTGTCCTCAGCCCCAAGGCTACTGCTGCTGCAGCAGCTGCTGCAGCAGCAGCTGGAAAAGCTCGGCGCTGCGGAGCTCGGCCTTAGTACTGCAGCTAGTGCTGCAGCTAGTGCTGCAGCTAGTGCTGCAGCTAGTGCTGCAGCTAGTGCCGCAGCAAATGCAGCAGCAAGCTGGTCTTCTTAGCATCACGGAGCAGCAAATAAGAACTTCACTTCTGCAATGTGTCTCTGGCTCTCTAGAAAGTTTAATTCTTATTTCCTTTTTGTATTTTAATTTCACTGTTTGGAAAATATTAAAATTCTATTTTGGCAGATCAGCTTTAGCTGCTCGTCGTTTGTTGACAAAAGAAAAGACAAGAAACAAAACTCAACTTTTGAAAAGTACAAAGACACGCAAAGGCCCACACAGCTGCGCCTCACACTTTGCTGCTGCTGCCGCAGCCCCTGCTGCTGCCGCTGCCGCTGCTGCTGCTGCTGCTGCTGTTGTTCCTGCAGTCACATATTTGTCTCCAACTTGTCCTTTTCCCCAATTTACTTTTTCCCCTTTTGGTCTCCAAAAGCTTTTTTCCTATGCCCAACTTTTGTTTGCATTTTGCTCCCTGGCGCTGGCTCAGGCGAGAGCCGGAGCAGCAAGAACTGCTGCTGCTGCTGCATCCCCTGCTGCTGCGTTTGTGTCCCTTGCTGCTGATATGCTGCGGCAGAGGCGTCAGCCGGCGCTGCAGCATGCGCTGCAGCGTGCGCCGCAGCAGGAGCAATTGTGTGCACCGGCAGCAAGTTGGGAGTTCAGTGAGGTCTGTGTGTTTCGTCAGTGTGCGTCTGTTGTGTGTTCCTTTTTGTCGGTCTCGTGCTGCTGCTGCTGCTGCTGCTGCAGCAGCAGCTGCTGCGTGTAGATGTGTCCGGGCCTGAGGACGCCGCCGTTTTGCTGGAGGCGCTGCTGCAGCAGGCCCGCAGCAGCAAGCACGAGTCCGAGGAAAAGGGGGTTGGGTTTGAGAGGCTTGGAAGTGAATTCGGGATGAAACTGCGAACAAATGAAGAAAGGATGGTTCTGAAGCTCCGCAATTTCCATTCGGTTTCCACTTGGGTCGCGGCCGACGAAGCGCAGCCCGGCGCGCTCCATGCGGTGTACGTACACCGGGTTGACCTCGAAGCGGTGGCGGTGGCGTTCGGAAACTTCACTTTTTTTGTCGTAAAGCGCAGCAGCAAGGCTCTCCGGACTTCGAATGCAAGTAGTTCTTCTTCCGAGCCGCATGCTGCCGCCCTTGTGGCCCGGGTTGTGCTCCGGCATGGCCACCACCACGGGGTGCGGGCTCTGCGGGTTGAACTCTTCGGAGTCCGCCGCATGCAGCCCCAAAACGTTTCTCGCGAACTCTATCACTGCAGTTTGCATGCCCAGGCAGATCCCCAAGTAGGGCTTTTTCTGTTCTCTGCAGTGCTGCGCGCTCAGCGCCTTGCCCCAGATCCCGCGGTCGCCGAAGCCCCCGGGGCACACCACTGCTGCTGCTGCTGCCAGCGCAGCCCACGCTGCAGCAAAGCCCTCGTTTGCTGCGCACTCCAGGCTGCTGCTCTCTATCCACCGCAGACTCAGCTCCACTCCCGCCTCCATCGAGGCGTGCTCCAGCGCCTTCACCACCGACAGGTACGAGTCCTGCAGCCCCGTGTACTTCCCCACGATCCCGATGCACACCCGCGGGGGGC